ACATTAAAAGCTTTTGTCGACTCAGGTCGAGCTTTATTACCTGATTGGAAGCCATCCTTCGTTGTCAAAGTCCACACAAACCGAGGTCATACGACGAGATTCGACGATTACCCCGAATTCAGGGAGCGGAAGAGGCACAATTGGACTTGACAGCCAGAATCCTCAATTTGGGGGCTGATGACAAGCAAATGCAACTGATGATGTCATCATCCGACTCGGATTGGTTCCTGGAAGAGCTGAAGCCCCTATTGACCGCAATGTTAACATGGAAAGACTCAAAAGTTTACTTCAGAGCACAGCAAAGCCAACCCAGTGATAATGAAAAATGCATGATGAATGAATATTAATGTACACAGCAAGTCATAATTAGATGGAAAAAGGAATGTTACCGCAACGAACGGAGCGAGACAAGGAGCAACAAGTAAACGATGACGAGACATGAAAAAAATGTCATGAAAGAAAGAAAATAGTATTCAAAACAGAGTACGTCGTACCGCAAAGATTATACAGATCGCTCTAGTGCGCTTGAAATTAAAAGTCATACAGTCCTCCTACGATGAAAGGGCTCGTGAAACCGCACACGCAGTACCTCAGTCATCCTCGACATAGGCAGACCGTCTTCGCATAATAGAACGGCCTGAACAAGCAAGGCATCAATTCAAATAAAAATCCATCATCATCCGCCTGTTTGCTTGCATCATTTCACTCCCACTAAAACAAGCAAGGTTTTTTTGGGCACTCAATACGAGATTTAAGCAGACTTGGCCTTGGCAGCCATCTATGGAGCGAATCAGTCAGATGAACAGAGTTGAACAGCTAAAAGAAAATGTACCAAGTTGAGGGCGGAGCCAGCCTTGAACCACTCGATTTGGCCTTCGTTGAAGGAGTGAGCAAGCTCGACCTCCTCAGAGGTGCCGTCCTGGTGCTTAACGACGAGGGTGAGGTTTTTGCCAGGAGCAAAGCTCTCCAGACCCTTGATGTCAACCTTGTCGGTACCCTTGATACGGTCGTAGTCGGCAGGGTTGACGAAGGTGAGCGCAAGCATACCCTGCTTCTTCAAGTTGGTCTCGTGAATACGGGCGAAGGAGCGGACGATGATGGCAAGACCACCGAGGAAACGGGGCTCAAGAGCAGCATGCTCACGGGAAGAACCTTCACCGTAGTTGTGGTCACCGATGACGACCCACTTGATGCCGGCGTCGCGGTATTTAGCAGCGACTTGAGGAACACCACCCCAGGATCCATCAACTTGGCTCTGGATTTTGTTGGCCTCGCCGTTCTCAGCGTTGATAGCACCGATGAGGCAATTCTCTGAAAGATAGAGTGAGCGTACAAAATGACTCAATAGTATGTTCAGACTTACGGGAAATGTTCTGGAGATGTCCACGGTACTTCAACCAGGGACCACCAGCGGAGATGTGATCAGTTGTGCATTTGCCCTTGACCTTGATGAGAACGGGGACATCGGTGGGTTGCTTGCCATCCCACTTCTCGAAGGGCTTCAGGAGCTGAAGACGGTCGGACTTGGGATCAACCTTGACTTGAACGGAAGCGCGGTCTGCGGGAGGAGCCTGGAAGGTGTTCTCTCCAGGATCGTAGCCACGGGGAGGGAGCTCAAAGCCAGAGGGAGGAGAGAACTTGAAGGGCTTGCCAGAAGGGGTGGGGATAGAGTCGGTCAGAGGGTTGAAGGCAAGGGTACCAGCAAAGGCAAGAGCAGTGACGATATCGGGCGAGGTGACGAAGGCGTGAGTGGCGGGGTTAGCATCGTTGCGTCCAGTGAAGTTACGGTTGTAAGAGGTGACGACTACGAATAATCAATAAAGGTCTACGAGAGAAAGAATCCAAGCAACATACTAGTGTTAGGTTCGCCCTTCTTGACGTCCTGACGATCCCACTGACCGATACAAGGTCCGCAAGCGTTGGCAAGGACCAAACCGCCAGCAGCCTCGAAAGCCTCAATTTGTCCGTCACGCTCAATTGTAGCCCTAACCTGTTCGCTTCCGGGAGTCACAGTGAACTTAGACTTGAGTTCAAGACCAGCATCCTTAGCTTGCTTGAAAAGATTGGCGGAGCGGGTCATGTCCTCATACGACGAGTTGGTGCAAGAACCGATGAGGCCAACCTTGACTTCCTCGGGCCATCCGTTCTTCTTGGCTTCAGCAGCAAGCTTGGAGATGGGGGTGGCGAGATCGGGGGTGAAAGGTCCATTGATGTGGGGCTCGAGTTCGGAAAGGTTCTTAAAAAGGTGGTCAGTAATGTGGGGATACAAAGCCTGTGGAATTGATTTACAATTTCAATGACCTGGTCGTATTCTGCCTTCTCGTCAGCCTTGAGGTTGTGGGAGAAGGACTTGGCGTAGTCGGCAATCTGGGAGCGCTTGGTAGCGCGGAGGTAGTCACCCATACGCTCGTTGTAGGGGAAGAGAGAAGTGGTTGCGCCGATTTCAGCACCCATATTGCAAATAGTAGCCATACCAGTGCAGCTGAGGGACTCGACACCAGAACCAGTATACTCGACGATGGCACCAGTTCCACCCTTGACAGTGAGAATACCAGCAACCTTGAGGATAACATCCTTAGGGGTGGTCCAGCCTCCAATCTTGCCAGTGAGGTTAACACCAATAACCTTGGGGCACTTGAGTTCCCAAGGAATTCCAGCCATGACGTCGACAGCATCAGCACCACCAACACCGCAAGCAATCATTCCGAGACCACCAGCGTTGGGAGTATGAGAGTCGGTACCGATCATCAGACCACCGGGGAAAGCGTAGTTTTCGAGGATAATTTGATGGATGATACCAGAACCGGGTTTCCAGAAACCAAGACCGTACTTGGCGGTTGCGGTGGCCAAAAAGTCGTAGACTTCCCTGTTGATGTCAATGGCACGGGCCAAATCCTTAACACCGCCGACTTGAGCCTCGATGAGATGGTCGCAGTGGACAGTGGTGGGGACGGCAGCGGTGTCCATACCAGCGGACATGAATTGGAGGAGGGCCATCTGGGGAACAAGTTACATTAGATAACAGTGGAGAAGAATGACGTAGATTAATACTCACTTGAGCGGTAGCATCCTGGCAAGCAACTCGCTATGAAAGGATTGGTGTTTGAGCTTCAAGCAGGACCAATGAACCAGACAACACATACATCAGGTCGGAGCTTGAGGTAGCTAGTTCCGCGGACGATATCCTGGTTAACAGGGTCGTCAAGATGGCCGTATAGAATCTTCTCCGAAAGGGTGAGAGGGCGCTGGAGTCTGATAACAAATAAGCAACGTGTTTCGAATCTCCCACTTGTGGACACACCTCTGACGAACGATCTCAAGGTTGTCCTCGATACGTTGGTAGTTGATATAGGCACCCTTCTCAAGGAGAGACATTGCTACTTTTGTATCACCAATGCGAGCAGCAGCTGTGGCCATCCCAGCGGCGAGACGCTGAAGATTGCGGACAGCATTTCCTGAACCGTTTGATTTGAGCATCGTGGCTATGACTAGCAGCTGCGTTTATAAAACGGCTGCAACAACGGCGACAATGATAAAGATGGAGGTAGGAGGAGGAGAAGAGAGTTATTAGAAACAAGGAGGAACTCGGAATCAACAAATTTATGCAAACTAAACACGTGAATTTCAGTTTCGGCACTCTCTACAACCAATCACAGTCAACGCATTTACTCATGATTGCCCCGCCTCATTCACCGAGCGCGATATCATTCTTCCCCGCTCTTTTGCCGCATAACCATGACTTTTTATCTTACATTTATCCTGGTTTTCCCCCACTTGAGACCCAACGTCGCTTCAATAACTCGTTAACTGCGCAACAAACAACCGACCTTGAGATGTACACAACCCGTCTTTTAACCACCTAAATACAGCAAGACACACGACAGAGAGTGAAAGACGTTCAAGACTTTTGAAGTCTGTTTTCTTCGGCACTATTCTTATCCACTTTCTACTGAGACCCAAATAACTAATGTCAATAACTCATCGGCCGAGTTCTATCAATAGATTCAACGAATGCAGCGTGCTAGCTGAGCTCTCTCAATTAATACCAGGCATGCTTGTTCATGCAGTACCAGTATCACTTTACTTTCAGTGGTTTAGCTACGGAGTTGCATGCCTACCTCCTCTTCGCAGCAATCACGAGAGAAGCCGTCGGTAGAAGGTAACCGGAAAGAAGTCCATGTGTTCATAAGTTAGTGTTAATCCTGTTGGTCCCAGGTTTGTTCTTCACTAACATGCTTGATGAATATCGTGTTCCATTCTAATTTCCGAAGAGTACAAACCCTTTTAAGTACCCCCACGGGCAGAAGTGATGTCGAGGATACAGCTATGAGGTCATACTTATATCGAAGTCGGAAGACGGGATCATTTCAATCGGTGTAATTATTCTTATCATCTGTAGGCCAGGAATTGGAAGCTTCCCATGATGCCGGTAAGTAAACTCCGAACCTCTATTTTCGAAGAAACGACGATCTTGGGTTTGCGGGGGGGCTTCGAGTAGGTAATAGGCACGTCTGAGGCGTATTTTCATTACATCGAACGTGATGCTGGGAAGGAAGCCTCGTATGCCATTGCCTCAACCGATTAAGAAGATTGACTCGACGATTTTATGAAAACAGTGGCCATAGTAATAGCTTGCCAGCCAGCACAATCCACCTTCGTGCACGATCTCCTTCTACTACAAGTACATCCATTTATAAGATGAACCTCGATTCTCCAGGTCTATTCAAGAGGAATGTATCCGTCCGGTGTGCTCCAGTGCGGCGTTTCCAATGGTGGTCGCTGCGTACTCTTTCGAGCGGTTCCTCAACCCGGGACGTCGAGACGATCACTGGTGAGTCCACCTTCAACTACAGGCATCTAAGTTAAGTAGCAGTGATAACATTCAGCATATTTCAACACACCCAACATTGGCCTTGGTGTTACCTCACGCAAGACTTAGGCACAGCTCGGAAAGCCACCGACTGCGGGTCGGAACGTGATCCGAAGAACATCATGCAAGCGCCCGCCTAGCTCAATTGGATAGAGCGTCAGACTCTTATCTGGTGCTGGCAAGGCTCAAGCTGTTATCCGTAAATCTGAAGGCTGCGAGTTCGATCCTCGCGGTGGGCTACTAGATTTTTTCCCATTTTTTTTACGACGAATGTGTTAATACTACATTTTGGTGTCTTCAAAGCCCAAATCGTTGACGCACGCGCGGGGAGATCCTCCTGAAAGTTAAGTGTCATTAAAGTGAGGGCAATGAGACGAAAAGGGAAGGTGATGATGACGCGCGATACGAGTCCGTGGAGTCGATAGAGATAGAGAGGAGGGAATAGGGAGATGTTTAAGGCGAACAGAAGCAAAGACACTGACAAAGGAGACGGAATTAATTACGAACAATCGCGGACGAACGACGAGGCACAAACTTGAAATATGGGCAGAAAATATCTTCGCATTGCTTATAAACTATGTACAGCTACAGTCTATAACTATGGAAAATCATGGAAATCAAGGGAAGATATCCATCAACCCAAGGTACGAAACCGAAAGCGCGCGACGACGCATGTAATGAACTGACGCGAACAAAAATGTTATCTATAAAAGTTTATTGAAAAAAAGCATAACTGCTATATTGACCATTCCTCTTGGCAGTGTTTAAGCATTTCTGCAGTCGTCTTAAACGTTAACAATGATTCGAAGGAACTTGGAATTCTCGCTTGATATTGATCTTTCATGCCTGTACGTTACAGTTGGTTAAATTTCAAGATGAGTGCACAGTCAGTCCTGCAGACGGTGAAAATGACAAAACCATTTTTTGAGGTATCGTGGCGGTGAAGTCAGTTTTTGTCGTGCGTTTCTCCCAAACCATCATATCTGTCATTTGAATTCTGAAGCTAACCCTAAAGCAATCCGCGTTGTGTCGATGTTGGTGACTTGCCTTTCGTTGGGGTTCCAGCCTCCAACCAATCGCATTCTCTCCCGACGCCCGCAGGTCCTCTGATTTTTGCCTCCACGATGCAGGATCGATAAGGCGGTATGGGTTGCCTCGTTCCAGCCAGCTCTGATTCTAAATAGCAAAAAATGCGACACTGCCTTGACAGTCTTGACTCGTGTCTTCGCAGTTTAAAGAAGACTCCCGAATGGCTTCCGAGAGGGGTGGACTTGAGGCAAAACTGCCCCACCATCGGACCACAATTGCGAGGTATTATCCCAAATGGTGAGGACGGTGCATAGCTATGTCACCGTTAGTGGAATTGGATCCGGTGGACATGCGGACTTGTATAAGAGTCGCGAGGCCGCCACCACGCCGCGTTTTCTTGTTTGACGAGAACCATATACGAAGTGGCTAGTCCTGCTCAGTCTAAGAGTTCTCTAACTGCGGGCTGTGGTCGGCGATTCGTTATCGTACGTGCATGCAAATTTTTTTATGATCTAGACATGCATTCGAGGACGTCATTCATGATGGATATGGTGATAATCATCCCAGGGGGATTTGCATTTTTTTTTCTCGAAGCGGCAATGACTTTTGACTGAATATGCCGATAGTACAGGACCACGGTGTCCTCTGTTTAGCCAGTGCATTGCGATTGTCATCCCACTGGACATCCGAAGTCTGTTGGACATTTTTTCAAACAGCGAGAACTTGAACTCTGGAGTCTGAAAGATGGCATATGTCAAGCATACATCATCTAAAAATTTAACCGGTTATGAACATTCAATATCTCAGGGTGACATCGCAAAACACCTTTTGGATTAATGCAATTGACGCAAATGGCAGGGCACTTATGTCGCTGGCTGAACGGATATACCTGCCTTGTATCCGCTGTCGACACCTCTTTTCACATCCAGACTGAGCATACTTATAAGTAAAGGACATGCAGTGACACATCGATTTCCCTTTCCTTTGTGCATTGTCAACTGTGCACTCACAGACTTTTCGCCTTCCCCAACCTGAAAACTGCACTTTACTGCACCGAGGGCCGCATACGCTGATCTTCGACCCTCGCCCTCCATCAGTAACACATATCGGTTGTCCCAAATCCACCATTTGCAAATTTCAACCCCCTTGTACCTATCCCACAGTCGCTCACCATCGCGACCAGATTATATTGCTTTCCGACACTCGCAATTGCGTTCTAATCGGTTCTCATACAACCGCGTCCCTTTTATTCTCACAACTTGAAAGGCCTTCTGAACGGCGCCAAACGACGTTTCAGCTCGTTCCCACTCTCGGAGCTCAATCCGCTTTGTTCATTTAAAGGACGCCGAATCCTGTGAGCAACATCCGATCCGCCCAGTGTTGTTCTTGAGAACTGACAGCCAGCGGTGTTGCTTCGGATTTGTAGAGCTGGACGGAGAAGCTGAAGAAGACCTGTCCGACGTGCTTCGCTGATCCGCTATTTTTACCACTTGACGATTATCCACTCGCTGCGATATTTCAAAAATAGCCTCAACACAAAGGTTTTTTCAAGGCTGACCAGTAAATTAGGACCCTTGGACGCCCTGATTGAACCTGAAGCTCAGCGGATTACGCGAACCATTCCACAAGCGAAAGGAATCTCTTTGACGACTGTCACGACAACGACGACCCAACGAACTTAACGAACTTGACCCGACATTCCCAAATTTCAACCATACCACCTGATCCCTTCGATACCAATCCCTAATCCGCACTTAACCTCCCACTCAAAAGCACCTTTCACTTAACACGTTGCCTATACTGCCTGCTTTGTGCAGTGCACCCATCCTGAACATCTAAGTCATTGGTTCCGGTGCTTCCTTTTTAATTATGTGCTCCCCACACTCAGCTCATCTCACTCTTATATTACAGTTCCGGGTTCACGCCTCAAAACTGCCGGAAAGACAAAGTAACGACTACGCGCGACGATTATTCATTATCGCGACGACAAGTGCTGGCGGCTATATTTAAACACGTACGAACCTGGTCAGTTTTACCTTTCACTTTTCTCTCTTCCCCGCTTTCCGTTCTCCGTTCATTTTGTTCCCTCTTTTTGTGATTATTTTCCCTCTGAGTAAGCAGTAGTGGACATTTCCACCCTAACGACTGTCATTGGTTCCATTGCCCACATTCCCCCACTCTCTTTACCCTTCACTTTCTCAGTGATATCAACACTACTTGACGTTGTTCCTTTGCACAAATCGAGGATTACATACGACGTGTCTGATATATTTCTCGTCGCCGTCTTGTCGAACACTGGTGGAGTTTTGAATGGTCGTTTAAGCAGTCAACTCTACCCCTATCAAGCTAGTGCCCGACTGTCGATTGGGAGGCGTTGCGTTGTCGCTCTCGGCTCTCTTGCCGACGCATCACATCACTTCCCTTGACCACCTTAACTTCAACCATCCATCGACTGTGCAATTTTCTAACCTTTTTTCACCACCCACATTCACCTTCTTTTAATCCGTGCTGGTTAAGACCATCGGACCTTCGTTTGTTTCATTCAACCTTGTATTCATCTACCAGCTTTTTGGTCGTATGCTCGCTTGACAATTCTTCACGTTTCTTTTGTTGCTCCACGTTAAAGACATTTTCGAGTTTTTACTGTAACTTCATCCGCTCTTTACCATCCATTATTTGCGTTTCTCTGTTCATTCTAGCTCACATCTGCAGCGGGATCCGGCTTTTGTGTATGGGTCTAATTTTTACTTGACAGATCTAACGCCTTCCGTATAGAAACGTACCTCAAACAGTTCACATCAGCGTCAACGACCTCCTGCCATTTCTTTGACTCCGCGCTCTTCAGCCTCACGAATATTTCTGTCTATCTTCGGTCTGTCGATTCGCCGACTTGCCTAATCCGTCGTGGCATCAAAACAAGATATCCTGTTCCAGGATCGCGAGCGTCTATTTTTGTGGGTATACTAGTTCTGTTCCTTATTAAATAACCTCAACCACGAGCTTCTTCGCCTTCTAGCGTTTCTGCTTCATTCCGTTTTGCACCAACTTCACGCATACCATTTCACTAATCGGCACGAAAGGTGACGCTAACGCAAATACGGCCCTGTACGACCTCCACCCCACCCCACCCCGCTTATATATATACCACACGCCTTCCCAACGACATTTCAATACCTTCAGCTAGTCATTTTCAGCCCTTATTAATTTCCCGGCCAACAACGGCCTGTAAAGATTTTTCCCGCTGTGCTTCCGTGCTTTTTTTGTCATTTTATGACGTCACTATCTTCTCCATCTCCGTGTTCCTCAGCACCGACCACTATTCGAGAGAAATCTCTCACACCCTCCATCGATCTAACCTCTTCAGCCAGTTTCCAATGGCTGAAAACGCATTCGGGGATCGGTCTGCGCTTTCACGCCCAGTCATTGTCAGGAAACGACCAACTCATATATTTGTCAGCGCATGCTTCGTCAGCCGGACATCAAATTGAAATTTCACCTCGAGAGATCGTCGGTGACCGTGTAGCGGAACAACATACGACGGGAAATGTCGATGCTGCAACTTCATTGTCCCTTTCCTCAATACCACCATCACCATCCTACGTCCCACTACCACAATCTGGACCACCTCCGTCGCGTCTTTCACCGTGGCAGCGTCCTAACTTCACGCCGCCGGGTGAAATGGTGTTCCCAACACACGCCGCATTCTCTCCTTTTCCAGATAGCCTAAACCCTTACGTCGGCGCTGTAATAGTGAGTTGCGTCGTCCTAGCCTTTTCTTCCTGGCTAACATTGTTACAGTTTGAGGGATTTCTGTACGGTTTATACACCACTCTATTCTTCATTTGCGCGTATGTTCTTATACGGCGACATCACCGACTCTCACAGAGGGACGCCGCTGAACGAGCAAATGCTCAGACTCAGTCATCATCAAGACGAGATCTTCACAGTTCATCACCCAACAATCAAGGTCTAGCCCCAAGCCCCAGCTATTCTACCCACAACTTCTCGCCGCTGTCAGCTAACTATTCCCAATCACAAACCCAATTCATACCGCCATCAAACCAGAGTCGCAATGCTAACAATTATACCCCGCCACGAACAACTCCAAAGAAGGTGCCGCAACACCTTCCATGGATTTGGGTTCTCCTTGCCTCTGGTCTATTGATGTACCTCATCGCGAGCGCGGACATGATCTATACCCTGGTTTTAC